TGCGCATTTCTCCTTGAACGCTTTCCAGTCCGTCCTTCTTACCTTGTACTTGCTTTCCGTTATTTCTTCGCCGTTCCCTAGTGTCAGCATCACTGGCATGTGATCTGACTGTCCTTCGTTCATCGTTGCTATGGCGTAGGGCATTCGCAGGTTCTTGATTATGGCTATGTCAATCACATCAAGGCGATTGTTTATATTGTCGGGATAATGGGTCGGCTCGTCCGGTCCGATGGCCGTTCCCCCATTTCTTGCTACCTCGGCTTCCAATGTTCTTCCATTTGGACAGTACTGCCTGCTGTTCCAGCTTCTGACGTGACTGTTGAAATCTCCTATTATTATTTGGGATTCTCTTCCCATCATTAGGGTAGCTATGTCTTCTGCCGTGATGTTGACAGTACTTTGCCTGTATACAGTGGTGATCTTGAGCGTGGTTCCGTCCCTCATGTTCACTCTTACGGTGATGGCGTCCAGTCCGGTGTCTTGAATCCCTAAGTATTCGTGGTCTAGTGATTCCTTCACTAGTATCGCGATTCCTGTATTTGTTCGGGCGTTTCCGTTTGGGCTTCTTTTCTGTATATGACGTAGTTGTGGAATCTGATGTTCGTCCCGCCTCTTATGAGTGTCTCTTGTAGCCCTAGTATGTCTACGTCATATTCTGCCAGATATTCTTCGATATCGGCTTTGTTGGCCCGTATGCCCCGTATGTTCCACGTTGTCGCTCTCAAGGACGTGGGCTTGATTTGTATGGCCATTTACTGGGGGGCTAATCTCAGTAAAATGGCTTGTAGCGACGCCAGGATAGTTGTAATGAATTTGCGGCGTGACTTGCCTTGGTTGTTGAGTAGGAGCCTGTCTGGGTGGTTGTGGTGGTTCTTGCCTCGTGGGGGGAGCTTGTTTTCTTTGAATTTCCCTCCTCTTTTGTGCGTCGGTCTTGGGGACGCTGGGGCAACCCCTGTAGCTTGCTACATTGGGGCCGCCGCAGTTTGCGCACTTCACGTTCCCCGTTTTGGGCTCCGACGGAATGGTGCATTCCCGGATGGGGTGGTCCTTGCCGCACTTGACGCACCTGTGTTGGAAGGTGCATCTACTTTGGCCGTGGCCAAACTTTTGGCACCTATGGCATTGCGGTACCTCACTGGTTTTATTTGGCTCCTCGAGCGTGACCTTTACGGAGCAAATGTTTGTAATCTTTTTTATGTTTTCATTGCAAGTCGTCACAATGAAGAACTCGGAGACCAGTTTCTCTCCTTTGTCTCCCCTCTTTTTCTTCAGTAGCTGAACTACTTTTGCATCTTCTATACCTTGTGCCTTCAGGTCTTCCTCGATCTCTGTGAGGGGTAGTTCTTTAAAGAGGCCCTTTATGACCATCTTGGTTTTTTTCTCTTCCTTTAATGCGTACGTGTAGTACTCCGCATTGTGGGCGTTTAGGAACTTGATTAAGTTCCTGTAGTCTTCGGTGGTCTCTGGGAACACCTTCATGCCGTCCTTCACGGACCTGGCCTTGTTGTATTTTATCTTCGCGTTCTTTATGGCGCCGGAGATGGCTGTCCAATTGTGTTTCGCGTTTATTGTCACCGGTGGTAAGTAAAAGGTGGAAGGGTAGTTTCTTTTATATGGAAAAGGTCATTAAAATTCAATTAGAGACCGGTTGGAGATGGGGTGAGAATTTGATATCGTTTTGAACTTTTATAAAGGTGTGCGTTTATATATACAATTTTTATTTTGTTTAATTTTTTTTGTAGAAAAATTTTATGTGGGACAATAATTAATATATTTAGAAAAATCATGTGTTTATAAATTTTGTAGAAAGGAATGAAGTATAAAAGTGTTTTTCGTTTTAAGTATATTAACTTTGGGGAATTTTGAGATTTTATTTTAAGAAATGATGTGAAGTACTTTTTATCTGAACAGATATTCCAATTTTTTTATTATTATAATAAATTAAAAAAAATCAAAATATTCCGAGAAATGAATTGGAAATTATCTATTCGAAATAGTTAGATAAGTATATAAATTATTTAAACATAGGCGTTATAAATTATGTCGTTGGTAAAAAAATGTTATTAACTTGAATTGTATAAATACTTTTAAAAAATTATGTGAAACGTTGATTTTGTAATGCCCATCTATGATTTATAGTATGAACATGGTAAAAATTTACATGATATGTTTGTATTTATTTATCCAAGTAATATTTTTCTAAAGTGATGTTTTTTTGTGAAATTCGTGATAACAATTCTGCAAAGTTCCTTATGATAATATTTGTAGAAGTTGTTTGGTAGTTGTTTCTTTGATAACTAATTGATGAAAATTTTCATAGTGGTATGAAGCTTTACGAGGCAACTCCATTTTCATTTGACAATAACCATTCACATCGAAATCTAAAGAATCTTCATGACAAATCATCTCTAGTTCATGCAGTTCTTTCTTCCTGAAACGAATTTTCACGATACTTTCTTCACACGATCGATGAGCATCTTGAAATTTGTCGGCATGTGTTCTTCTTATCGTGAACATTGTAGAATCGCATCGGATAACCTCACAACTATCGATGAGGTTAAAAATCTTAAATTTTCAATATTATTAATATTAAAATTGAAATATTTTTATTGTTAATTTCATAAATTATACAACTATATGGTGCATTATGAAATTTTAGAAGTGGTGTAATTTTAACTAATTTATTGACGACTTTTAAATTCTATTATTCGAAAATATATCGGTAATTAAATGATCGTAATTGTGTAATTGGCCTCCAAAATGCGTGGGCGCATGCGCCTTTCGTAGGGCCACCCCTGAAGGGGTGGCTACCGCCCGCGACGGGGTTGACCAATGAAATATATAGAAAATGAGACAAACCAAAATAAACCAATGAAAAAGAGAATAGATTTAGCGGGAAATACGAACGTGGGGTGGGGGTAGACACACATAATGAAATATTGAAACTAGGTATGATGTGTGTGCTCTACCATAGGAACTAAAGGAACCACAGTAGGTGTAATATAATATATTTATTAATGACGTAATACAAGGCACACACATGCTATATAGTTTCAGTCGGAGGCTTCGTGTTCCAGATTTTTGGTGGATGCGCTCGTGGTGGGTCCGTTTTCGTTTTCTTCAATGTCGAGTTGTTGTAGCTCCAGTGTTAGGTCGTATTTGCATTTCCAACAGAATTCTTAGGTTGTTGGGTTGTTGCACAGGTTGTACGGTTTTGATTGTTTTTTTGCTGTTCGTTTGTCTGGTGTTGGTGGTAGGTGTTGAGGTATCGGGTTGTCAGGTGTTGTGGCGCGGTAGTTAAAGAGTGGTGCTTCTATGTGTACAATTGTTATTCATCTTTCGCAGGCTTTAATTGTTTCCGTGTGTATCCCTTTGGGCCAGAACAGATCCAAGTGGTTTACACAAATTATCCTGGGTGTACCTGCTTGAAATCTGGTTGCCCCGTATTTGATGTTCTGGGTGATGGGCGTCTCCATATCGAGTAGTTTGAGTAAGGTGAGGGGACTCCAATTGGGGAAGTCTAGATCGTCCAGGATGATGCCGTCAACGCTGTTATTGTAGCGTCTCCAGTCTTCTTTATCCTTTACATGGAGGGGGTGTTGGAAGTGTGCCAGCGTGTATTGCGTTTTACCTAAACCAGTACTTCCTACAAGTACGATTACTTTTTTTTTGGTGTCCATCATGGGTCGGTTGAATGTTTCCGGGGGATAGAGGGCTTTATCGAGGCAGTCATACTATTGGGTGAAATATAAGTACAATTTTTTCTGGTTTTATAAATAAAATAACTTGTCATGCTGTTCAATCAAGTCCATAGCGCCTTGGTACGTGTCGCATTGGAGGGCTTCGTCTATGATTGTCTTGTCCACTTTTTTTCCGAATTTTGGAATTTCACCGAATACGTATAGTTCTCCTTCGCGTTTGTTCTCATCTGTGCAGTACTTGATGCAAGCCTCCAGATCATTAGCGTATTGTATATTGGCGTTGTTGAAAAGTTTTTGTATTGCGTCGAGCGTTCTTGCATTTTTGAATCCAAACGTCAGTTGTATATGTTCCATGCCCATGCGTCCTGTTTCTTGCTGTCCGTGTTGTTGCATTGTCTCGAGGCGTTCGTTTCGGTCTTCACCGCTGATGAAGCATGTGAAGACTCTTTTTTTACAGGTGGTCATGGCGGAATCTATTGTATGTTGCGATGTGATCAGATGTACAGTAGGTTGGCAGCACTTTGTACACTCTTAGCACTTTATTTCGCGATATCCAGAAGGGATTATGTTGATATTTATATTTTTGTATAAAGTTACACCGACTGCAAACTATTTTTTTTGTATAAACGAAGTTATTAACTGGCGTGTTCATATTAAACTGAATTGTTGTTTGTGTGTGCCGGACGTATTAATAATAGCAGCTTATCTGCGGATGTTGGTATCTATTTCCTGTTTGTTGTTTCCTGTCAGCCCGCGCCTTCGGCACGTACGCCTCCCTTCCGGTGACGTTTGCGTCACTTACGGTCTAACCTACTTCGAGGTCAGTATGGAAAAGTTATTTGGTCCTAAAGTGCAGTTTAGTGATGCAGAATATGATTTGGCTCGTGATTTGGATGTATTTCATACTCGTGAAGCTTTAGAAAAAGATAAGTTTATACGATGGAGTTATTATCGTTATTCTTACTCTTTTGTGTAACTGTAACGTTTCAAGAACGAACTTAATTGATGTGAAGAGGATCTTTTAATTTACAAATGTAGTTTTCATGTAGGTAACAGTTTTTTGGAATGGGAGTCGAGTCATTTCGACGACTAAATTTACGAACCCATTAACGAAGTATAAATGTGTACTTTGATGAAAATATTAAATTTGGAAAAAATTTAAAAGGGTGTGAATATTTAAAATGGAAATGTCGTGGTGGTCCCCGATGTTCCGGGACGGTCGCCACGAGATATTCTGTCGTATAATTGTTGATCCGTGTATAAATTGATCAAATCATTTTCGTTAAAAAATCGTCTACATCAGGGTGAAATTTGAATCGCAATCGGTGATGGTACGTCAACTGAGAATAATGTCGTGGTTGTACCTGATGTTCCGGGACGGGAACTTCGTTCAAACAACTGTCGATCGTTATATGGATTGACCACGACGTTATCGCACAGCCTGAGGATCGGAAGTATCCTGGGTGTAAGTCTGTGTCTCAGTACGTCCATAATAATGTCAGTCAAATTCAGGGAATCGAAAAAATCGTCATTTTGTTCGAACGAAGTACTGGTCGGTTCGTTAGACGTTGGTGGAGAGGGTGACCTGCGTTCCGGAAGCACGACTTCGCCCTGACCCCCGATAATCACACGAGTAGGATTCCAGGGTAACCGTTGTCAAAGTGGTTCGGGGTTGTTAAAAATGTTGGAGTAAACGACGTTACGCGTCAATTTAACTCCGTCTCTGCGTCTGAAAGCGGCTTGATTTGCCGTGTTTTCGATCACGACACACACATCTTCAGACGATCCCACCCTAGAGAAGGCCCCATAAAGCTGTCCGTGCGCGAAACAAGGGCTTGGCAAATTAGGTCTGTCCTTGACTTTTGTTGATCGTCATGGCGAATGCCAGCCGCATGGGAAATTGCACTCTCTTGATCGGACGAGGAACTTGCGGAACGCTCGATGTGATCTTAATTTTAGACAAGTTGATGGTTTCCCCTTTGCGGGGACCCGATAGAAACTTGACTTCCAAAACTTCGTCGCCGAGATGCACAATCATCATTTTGGTGCCGTTACACTGTCCATGCCTGACGTCTAGGTTTTTAAGAAGGACGACAACCGCTCCCGTCTTGAGCACGAGCTCATGTGGCGGAATGTTGGACGCCGAGATCCGATGAACGACGTCCAAAGAGACGTGAAATTCATCATCCTCGGTCGCCGCATTGCCGGCATACTCGTCGACCGAGTGGTAGTGTACCCAATGTAGTAGCCCACCAATGATTTTTCGATTTAAAATTAGCAAATTAATGTCATCTACCGCGATCCCCGACGTCGTTTTCATTCACTCTGTCGTAGACCCATTCGATCAATTCCTGTATGGTTGGCATTACGAAATGACGATCGATTTTGATGAGATCGGCCGTTACGAACGTGTCGCACAAAATTGCCCTCTCGATTAACCCGTCCCCCATACGCAAAAGCCAATTGCCGTACTCTTGAATGCGGTTCCCCGCGACTTCCAAGTCGACCATTTCGGCATGATGAGCCGCCGCCTCGGTCGCCAACTGTGCCGCGCGATTCACGCGCAAGTTTGTCTGAAGACAAAACACCTTCACCCTTCGCCAAATCTGACTCGATTTGACACAGTTTGCAAGGATGTCCATGCGCGAACCGCGCACCACGATCGGCGACGTTTGACGAAAGTCGCCCCCCGAAAAGGACTACTTTTCCCCCGAAAGGAACCACATTGTTCTCGCACACGTCACAAACCGTGTTCAACGCATGCTTTGACGTCATTGACACCTCGTCCCAAAGAATGACGTCGGTTCGACTAATGTTTTGTGACCTTTCGTGCTCGGCCGGCCATCCGACTGTGGACTCTTCGTCCAGGTCCAGAGGGAGACGGAAAGCGTGGGGGCAGGTCCTCCCCTCTATAAGTAAAGACGCAGCTATGCCCGTCCACGCAACTGCCATCAGACGGGCACCGCCGGCAGACAAAATTCGCTCCGCGATTACGTTATAGAGAAAAGTTTTGCCAGTTCCGCCGGGTCCGTCAACAAAAAATAAATTTCTGATGACGAACGTCTCGTCCGCCTCCAGTCCCGCAACGATAGCCCTGTCGAGGTGGAAATGTCGCAACGCACTCTCCGAATCTACGCTGTTTCTATTTTTTAACAAAGTGTAAATAACGGCGTTGTAAACAGTACGTTGATCCGCGTTCAACTCGCACACTCTGTCCCCGAATCTCAAGAGCACATTCTCGCGCTCGTCTGACGCCGCATTGTCGCACTTCCGCAAACGCGTTCGCTTCATTGACGCTAGCAGCTTCCGGGTCGTCCAGACCGATCTCGTTGAGGTTTATTCCCTCGCGATTTGCCGCTACGATTTGATCAATATGAATGAGAGCGCGGCGAAGCGCTATCGGCAGCGGAATACCGCGTCTTATGAGATCAGCGATCATGTAAGGATTTTTGAACTCTTTCCATTAGGCCGGTATTTCGTGCCGATGGCGCTCGAATGAATCTAAAACAATTAGTGCGAAAAAATTTCTGACGCGCGGCGGCAAATCGCGATCGCAAACCTCGCGCATCGCGTTGCGGTAAATGTCAAAATTGGCGAGTAACCGACGCTTCTCGCATGCTTCATGGTACGTTTGACCGATATACCCGTCGGCTAGCGTTCGGATCGATTCGAAGGAGGTGGCGCCCCGTAAATGTTGTAACAAAATACGCAGGTGAAACCTTTCGTCATCCAACGGGGATATTTCTGGTATAACTCCCACGATTTTGTTAAAATGTTGACGCGCACGCTATTCCCCCTCTCCTCTAAACCAAACGTAGTTTTCGGGTATCTCCACGTATCGCAGCTGCCGTGCTTCGGATTCGACCGCATTCAGACGGAAATGCGCCACCAATTTAGACACGTAGTTTGTTGCGTCCGCGACACGGGTCAGTAATTCTTCTTCGTCGTCACCTTCATCGAAAGTGACGGGTTGTTCATTTTCCAAGTGAACGGGCAGCGTCACTACGGCGTGGAATCTCGTCCCAATCGACTTCATTATTTTGCCCGCGCATTTGGATGGTGATGCAATCTGGTCCTTTATGACAATATTTGTAAGGCCCGATCGATACGCCGATTATCATAACGATTGCCTGCGCCTGCAAACAGACCGTCGTCCGGACGGGCATATTCCGGCCTTCCGTCGAAACGGTGGAAATTTAGAACGGTATCGCGTCGAAAGGCCTTTGGATAGCCTTTCACACACACGTGACCCTCCAAATTGGTACACGGGGCGGCCGGATTGTCTTGACCGCAGACACGGTGCACATAATAATCCGGTCCATCTTCTCCGCGTCGTCGATCCGATCCGTAGGTTCGAACCCGATTAAAATGTGAGCGTGTGGCAGTCCCCTTTTTTGGAATTCGATCGAATAATTATAAGTGCGGACGATTCCCAAGAATTGTTGTTTGACTAAATCCTCCATGAATTGTTCGAGCTTTGTATGGAAGACTCGGCACACCAATTCTGAACGATTTTCCACGCGCTGATTAAAACTTAAATTTCGAGTAATTTTTGGCCAATGGGGGTTGCAGGTCATCGTTATAAATAAGTCGGGTTTACCGTGTCTGGCAACGACTGCCATAGCGTTCGGGTATAGGACAACTAGCATTAAACCCGGACGGCAGGATGGTGATACGGCCGATCCTCGCATTAGGTCCCACTTCGGCTACGCGCCTGCGCACGTAGTCGATTAAGCGGTTGTAATACGTGGTCCGAACTTGACGTTGATTTGTCTGGTACCACCACAACTCTCGTGATTCTATTTTCACGTACGTGTCAACCACGTACTGTTGAAATCGCGGAATTGTGTAATATGGAAAAAGTCTCGTCACGTACCATCAACCTGTGCTGGTAGAAATCCCGGAGCGAGACTTTTTTGTCTCCTCTGCTCGCATATCTGAGACGCATGTCATAACCGCCCCCTCCTCGAGGGAAGAGTAACGGGTACACCCACGAGACAAATTACTAATTTTATTTTTATAAAATTTTTATTTTTTATAAGCGGACGTCGTGGGTACACTCGCGGATCAACATCGAACGGTATATCGTTATCAAATACCGCTGCTATTTCGCAGCGGCTCTCAGGTAAATTAAAATTCCGTCGGTCTCTATTGATGTTGCCTTTGAATCCCACCATGATGTTCGCTACCGAGTCTGACCCGTCACGTTCGATGCGTTTCCGAATCATTTCCGGAATGCAAATATAACTCTGGACGAGTACGTTTGTGCGCCTCAACATCTCCTCGAGGATCCGGAAAAGATGTGGATCTATTCCCGTCTCGTCAAAAAAATCGTTGCGACGTTCGAGCGCTTCCGCGACATCAAGAAAATAGTATTGATTATTTCTAATTGGCTCGTCACGATGCTGCACATTTAGAGGGATGTCCTGAGCGTGGTGATAAATTTGCCCCTTGCTTGTAAAACGAAAAGCCCCTTGCCCAACATTAACATTGGCAGGAATAGGAGGCCATGGCAAAATTACTATTCAATTTACGGATGTTATTTAAAAACTGCCCAGCAAGAGGTGTATTGTCAGTCAATAATTGACTTAATTCTTTTGTACATTCCCCAATGGCCCTAGAAGAACTTCGGTCCCTTTGCAACAAAGTAATCTGATATACCGATTTTTCGGTTCTAATTGAAAAAACAAAACGTTGCAGAACGGCAAATATCTGTCATTGGCCCGCACGAATGAACGTTTACATGAAACGCTTGTTCATGTGCTAAAGTAATAGCGTCCCGGTGCGTTCTTCTAATAGATTGAACTGAAAAGTTTTATTTCATGTCCTGATTTTCCTGTCTCAAATCCTTTTTGAAAGGCAAATGTTGTGTTTTGTGTTTTATCTTAGGTCCGCAGACAATGAAATGGGCGTCTGTCTGTTGACCAACCTTTGGTAATGTGTTTTGAATAATTATCGTTGTGTTTTAATCATTCTTCTAATCACGTCTGTCATTGTTAGGTCCTGCCCTAGGGAAATTGACCTGAATCTCTCAGTGCCAATGCCTGGTGGAAGATTTCTCCTAGCATTTCTGTTTTGATACCAATCATCTGGCATCACCCATGATCGCTGTTGATTCGCTGTTTCAACACAGCTCCAATTTGCTACTCTTTGGTTGCGATTTGCACCTGGTCCGTCTTAAATGTTTGGAATCCAAAACAGTATGCTGCTCCCATTATAGCTATGGAACTAGTTGCAGCAGATAGAGTCTGAACGTTTCTCTCATTCCAGCGTTCAGGATCCTCTGTTTCCGTTGGTTGGTCTGCTTATTTCCACTTGTGTTTCGCCTCCATTTAGAGATAAGTTTTTGAAGCACACTTTCGCCATTTTAAATGTTGTGAACAATAATGTCAGACATTGCTTTTTCATATTTGAAATTGAAGCGAGTGCCTCGAATATACTCTTGGAATGCGTTTGCGGTAATTTCTAGACCTGCCAATCTTTGGACGATTTCTGGTCTTCTTGGTCCGATTGGTGTTGTGTTTCCGACTAGATTTTGGATTACACGCCTACCTTGTGGTAGGCCAACTCTGAAGTTAGTTTTAGTTAGCGGCGGCAGATCCAGAACCAGTGCCATTACCATATCTCCTGCGATTTCCCAAGAATGGAACCTCTTCAAAGATATTATGTGTATCGGTCGTTATAGCGTTTGCGCGGTATCCACCAAATCCTTGTACAACTGTGGTTGGTAAATCTGGAATTCGATGTCGCGTTTGTTTACCTACTTTATCGGTGTAGTTTCCAACCTCGTTGAGCATGGTAAAAAGGGGCTGAGGGAAATTTAATTGTTCGTCGGTTACAGCTTTTCTAATTGCCTTCTCCTCGCTGGTCAGTGCTACTTGTCCTTCTTTGGCCTTGACGTCAATTAGCTTCATCAATGATAGCGAGGCTGCATAATATGCGATCTCCTCTTTCATTAGGATTCTATCTAATTGCTTCTAGTCTGGTCTGAAGTTTTGATAGACTTCTAACGACAAATCAACTATCCTATTGTAACTGGTGCTAAATTCTTGTCTTGGCGCGATTTCTGTTACAGAGACGTCAACTCCGAAGATCGATTCTGATATGATTGGCTCGTTCCTCTGTGATGTTCGGTTTTTCTGTAGGTGTGTCGGTGCCGGTAGTTCTGCGATTTTTAGTCCAGGATGAGGATTGTTTGCCTTTGGTTTTATCGGGGCCTTTCTCCTCTTTCCCAAATATTGATTGTTAGCCTGAACAGGAACAGTTTCTTCGCGTAAAATATCATCGTCGCATCGTTGCAAATTTGGAGAGACGGACGACGAAGTAGAATTTGTTGTTGTGTGTACTTCGGGCGGTTGCGGGTGATCTTCCATGGATGCGACTTTCAATTGAGGTTGAGAGATAGGGGGTGTCTCCCGTTGCTAAATCGGAAACAAAGGTGGCAAGATGACAGATAATCCACGCAAAATTATATATCCCTCTCTGAGGGTTCTGAAAACGCGATTTGATGTTGGAGGTAAACGATATAAAACCACCCGCAACCAGTTTCGAATCGGTATAATCACACGACGGGCATTGAAACATTGCAAAATTTGAGAAGATGTTAAAGGTTGGATAATTATATTTAATTCGCGGATGTTGAAAAAAATAAGAGTAAGTTGTATAACTATCAATCGACGACGAGATTCCAAAGATTGGCGATCTCTCAATTGACCCCTAGTTATAATACGCGATTCATTATTAACGGGCATGATTAAACAGAATATTCTGAAAAGAACAAGAAAAATTGTTGTACAAAAGGTTTTGAAGTTTTGTGTATTTTTAAATATTAAAACTAAGAAACACTAGCACGGAAACGATAATATTTATAAGGGTACTTACATTATCAATTGCCCCGATACAGATGATAGTCGGACCCCTAAAATTAAAAAAAAAAATTACTGTAGTAAAATCGATATCTTACATTTCTCGATGATACAAATTTCAAGTTTGAAAAAATATTTAATAAAAAATTTGAAAAACATTAATAATTACTTTCCAAAAAAAACAATTAAATGATAAGAACACAAATATGATAAACAACGGTAGCAACTAATTAATAACATACGAGAGAAATAATTTCGCGCTTATTTTTAAACCGTTAACCACTTGGTAACCGTGAAATTAACCATAAATTAAAATGAAAATGACAATGGATTGTTTATAAATAGAAGTTTAAAGAAGGAAATAATATAGTGCTAATTCATTTATTCAATATTTCATTTATTATCCAAATTGGAATACACATTAAATGAAAACAATTTTAAAATACAGGGGAAATTGACAAAAATGTAGTTAACGTACGAGAGAAGTAATTTCGAACTTAGTAATAGGGAAATTAATAATAAATTAAAGTAATAATGATGGTAATTGGATCGTATATAAAAAATGAATATCCTATAATAATTTAAGAACAAAATTGGAAAATATGCAATGATAATTGAAATGTTTTTTAATCAATTAATTAAAAAAAATGTATACAAATATACGTTAGTTTCAAAAAATATTACATAGAATTTACTTTTTCTTGTTATATATGATAATTGAAATAAATTTATATAATATAATAATTATAAATATTCTAAGTCTCTAAACGAGTTAAGTCTCCATTCTCACGACGGACATGATTCAGCTGTTCGCTATAATTGTAAAATTATGTGTCTATAAATAAGATAATCTCCACTCTCGTGACGGATTCTGAACGAGATAGTCTCCACTCTCGTGACGAATTTGAGGCAGTTGTTCGCTATAATTATAAATATTCTACGCCTCTGAACGAGATAGTCTCCACTGTCGTGACGGACTTGAGGCAGCTGTTCGCTATTATTATACATTTTTTACAACTCGCTGTAATTATAAATATTCTACGTCTCTGAACGAGATGAGGCTCCATTCTCGTAACGGATTTGAGGCAGCTGTATGAACGAGTTAAGTCTTCATTCCCATGACGAAAATCACACGAGTAGGATTCTAGGGTAACCGTTGTTGAAGTGGTTCCTGATTGTGAAAAATATTGGAGTAAACGACGTTACGCGTCAATTTAAAACTCCGTCTCTGCGTCTAACAGCGCCTTGTTGCCGTGCCCTCAGGTGAACCCATCCTAGAGAACGCTACATACACTCGTATTCATAGTCGAGCGCCAGCCGCCCGCTGGTTGCAGATTTCCTGAAAATGTTCATTCTTATTTCATAGTCGAGCGCCCTCCGAATGACGCCTGCGCAGAACGGTCTTTTGAAGTTCTTAAGCTCTCGCCGGCGGGCGATTGGATAAGTTTATTTTTTTCGTTTCATAGTCGAATTTCGAGGAAAGAACACATGCGCTGTTTAAGCCGAACCAATTGTCTTTCGTCGGGCGACTGGAGCATGTCCCGACATTCTCCGGGCGACTCGCCAGTTGAATTTAAGAGCATAGACTTGCTATAACTGATATGGAAAACCTTTATAATATTGTCCGACTAAATGCAGAAATCGACGAAAATGATGACATTAATTTAAGAATGCCTAAAAGATATATTAGAGATATGCAAAACCCAGTTCAATTTTACAATGATTTCGAACTTAAACGTCGATACAGATTCAGTAAAAATGTAGTTATGGAACATTTAATTAAATTAGTGGAACCAGAACTATTAAAAGTTAACCAGCGTGGTTTACCAGTTTCGCCTTTAATAGCAGTGTTATGCACATTACGATTTTATGCATCTGGAAGTTTTCAGGCAAAGTATTTACTAATATCTATTATAAATATTAACAAGTTTTGAAATATAGTATTTCATCTTTTCGTAACTTAAAAAAGTTTTAGTTTTCACTAGAATAGTAAAACAAATTTCAACAATATTTGCAGCTCAAAGTCGTAATTCTATTAAGATGCCCACAACACATGCAGAAGAACAACATATATATGAACAATTTTACCAGATTGCGCACTTTCCTGAGGTAGTTGGCTGTATAGACTGTACGCACATACCAATCAAGAATCCTGGTGGTTTGGTTGCAGAATTATACCGAAATAGAAAACGTACATTCAGTATAAACGTTCAAGTTGTTGCTGGACCATCTATGAAAATTATGGACATTGTTGCAAGGTGGCCTGGAAGGGAACATGACAGCATGATTTTTAGTAATAGTTCATTAAAAGCCAGATTTGAAGTTGGGCATTTGCATGGATATTTGTTAGGTGACAGTGGGTACCCTTGTTTGCCATATCTTATGACTCCTCTACTGCACCCAGAAAACGACTCCGAAATTTTATACAATTCGAGCCAAATTAGAACAAGAAACGTTGTAGAAAGATTATTTGGAGTGTGGAAAAGACGTTTCCCTTGTTTGGCGAAAGGGCTAGGAACTAATTTAGAAACTACTTGCGTGATAGTAGTGGCTTGTGCGGTTTTATATAATATAGGAATTGATTTCGGAGAGAACCTAGATGAAATTTTGGTGGAAGAATGAGATGCAAATATACCAGAAAACTTACAAATAAGGGGAAATGCGCGTCACTTTACAGAATGAAATAGTTTTATTATATTATGCTATTATACATATATAACTATATTGAAACCTATTAACTAACCAAAACTAACTTTATTACTAAAATATATGGCATATTAACAATTAGGCATTGCTTAATATAATTTAGAATAATTTTTTAATTAATAAATTGATAATAAATTAATCGTTTTTTAATAAAAGTTGACGTAATTCCTCCCTTTTTATTGATAACTCCACTTCCGCTCTTTGCCTTCTAATTTTCGCCTCTTCTCTTTTTTCAATAGCTTCTTGTTTGTTTATTTCGTGGATGTCTATTAAATGCTGTCTTTCTAATTTGGCATTAACAATCCTCTCCTTAAAAAGAGCATTCAAGTCGCCACTCGATTTAGCAAAAACAACTTTATCTTTTTGCTTATTTAATATTTTTTTCTCATCCGGATATAGCCTTTTAAGAGAAATAGAATCGCTGCTTAAAGGTGTTGGAACTTCTATTTCACGTGAAGCTAGGCTAACAGATTTTGTCTGGATGGTGCATTATTATCTTCTGGTAATAATGACTGGTCTTTTGTTATTGTATGTGAAGGTTCGGATATAACTAAAAATATATGTAGTCTAAATTCGATTTTTTTAAATTATTTTGAATAAAAATAGTTGCGCATAATGAATTTAGTTTTACCTAGAAGTGTATAATCTTTTTCTGCTGATTCAAATTTGCCATCTGAATCAAAAGGATTTTTCACATGTTTCGTTAATTGTTTCTACTATTTCGGTTTTTGGAAGTTGTTCCTTGGCTTCTGGTGTTGGCTGTTGATTCGGTGTTTTTTTTTTCTGTCAGTTCGGTTGGTTGTGTGATTGTTTTTTGTGGCCCTTTGTTTTGCGGTTCCTGTGTGGCTTCTGTGGTTTTTGCTGTAGGCTGCGGATTTGGTGGTTTTTGTTTCGTGAGTTCCTTTGGTTTTTGTTCTACTGTTCTTTGTGGCTTTTAATTTTGCGGTTCCTGTGTGGATTCCGTGGTTTTTGTTGTCGGCTGCTGTTTCGTGGTTCCTTTGGTTTTTGTTCTACTGTTCTTTGTGGCTTTTAATTTTGCGGTTCCTGTGTGGATTCCGTGGTTTTTGTTGTCGGCTGCTGTTTCGTGGTTCCTTTGGTTTTTGTTCTACTGTTTTTTGTGGCTTTTGACTTTGCTATTCCAATGTGACCTCTGTGGTTTTTGTTGTCGCCTGCTGTTTTGGTGGTTTTTGTTTCGTGGGCTCCTTTGGTTTTTGTTCTATTGTTTTTTGTGGGTTTTGATTTTGCGATTCCTGTGAGGCTTCTGTGGTTTTTGTTGTCGGCTGCTGTTTTGGTATTTTCTGTCCTGTGAGTTCTTTTTGTTGTTTTTCTAGCGTTTTTTGTGTTTCTTCGTTTTGCGGTTACTGTTTTATTTTTAATTTCCGCTTCTGTATTTATTGGTTGTATTTTTTCGTGGTTTTTTCTTTTCTACTGTTTTTTAGTGGTTTTTCTTTTGGATGTAATTCCTTCACGAGTTCTTCTAAGGTTGGTGAAGATTTTCGTTTTTCTCTGTTGTCCATTTTGTTTCACTTTAAGCACGTTCTGTTGATAGTAAATAAAAGTTCTTGTAAACTTTAACATGATTGAACCCAGAAGTCTCCTGAACGTCTTTGAATTGATTAAAGTTCTATACGAATCACCAATTCCCGTTTGTCCAGAGTTTCTAAAATTTCACTGGACATCTTGTCACATCGTCCTGCCTCCTTAAGCAAATTAACAACCCTTGACAAGCAACGCCTGCATTCATTAGATTGCGCATGACATAAACTCATTTATAAAATCGGTCCGTTGATTTTCTTTTTCTTCACTCATTCTCCTTAAAAAAATATGTATTTTGAACTATATAATTACAAATTATTTACAAAAAATAGTAAACGAATTCATTTAACCGATAAATAATCAAAAACAAAAATTTATTTATTTTTTAAAATTAAGAAAAAATCTTTTTTTCTTTATTTACAGTATTTTTCTTTGAAAGTGATTTCATTTTAATTTTTGTCTTTAAACTAAAAAAAAATTGAAATCTTTTAATGACAATTTTATTACATATATGTAATTCGGCGTGTACTAATTACTAACACAATTTACCTTTAAACCATTTTTTATTATTTTTAATTACAATACGAATCGTACAATATGCGCGATACACACAATTAAAAAAAAAACTTTTTATTCGCCCTTAAATTTAAATTCCGGATAATATTTCTCAATCTCCTTTTGAACTTTTACACTTTTTACTTTCAATTCCCTCGGTTGCTTTTCAATGGCACATTTGACAATTCCTAACCGCCGACAATCCGGCTTGTCATGGTCGAACAATTCTTCTTTTATTGACGCCCAATTTCTACGACCTCTTCCCTTCGTGGATCCTTATCAGTTAACCTAATCATCTTAGCTTCTACCCAAGCGCGGCCTCCTGTTTAGCCAGTTCCAGGTACCTTAGGCACCAAGGGCGCCTCGTCGTCCGAGTCGCTTCTTGACCTTTTGCTTGTGACCAATATAGGCTTCACTGTCCACTGTATCCGAGCCCCCTTTGATGCTTCGATGATAGATACAGAGGAGGACGAGCCCGCAGTAGGGGCTTGGCCCGGTGCCAGACTACCAAAAACTGAGTCTGGGCTGTCGGGTATCTCTAGGGGGGATCCTGCCCTAAGAGATTCGGTGGCGGATCTGGGGGTACGATATCTGGATGAGGTTCTGGGTCCAAGCATGTGGGAGAAGGGGTGGGGGATGACGCTGGGAGAGTGTACACCTTTTCTTTCAAATAACCCCAAAGAAAAAAGTCCAACGGTGTCAGATCACATGATCTTGGCGGCCAATTGACATCGCCATTATGTGAGATAACACGACAATTAAATTTGTTGCGCAAAAGAGCCATTGTTTCGTTAGCTGTGTGGCAAGTGGCACCGTCCTGCTGAAACCACATATCGTCCACATCCATATCTTCCAATTCGGGCCATAAAAAGTTCGTTATCATCTCACGATAGCGAACACCATTCGCAGTAACTGCCTGACCGGCCTCATTTTGGAGAAAATACGGCCCGATGATGCCGCCAGCCCATAAACCGCACCAAACAGTCACTCTTTGGGGGTGCATTGGTTTTTCGACAATCACTCTTGGATTCTCATTCGCCCAAATGCGGCAATTCTGTTTATTGACGAATCCACTGAGGTGAAAATGTGCCTCATCACTGAAGATGATTTTCTTCGAAAATTGATCATCCACTGTTGCCATTTCTTGCCACCATTCTGCCCATTCACGACGTTTGGAATGGTCAAGAGGCTTTAGTTCTTGAGCCAATTGCCCCTTGTAAGCGTGTAAAGGCAAGTCTTTATGTATAATGTTTATCAACGACGAGCGTGAGAGGTGCAATTGTTGGGCACGACGACGAGTTGAGGTGGACGGCTCTTCAGCCACACTATCGCGAACAGCAGCAATATTTTCTGCAGTACGAGCTGTACGAGCATGCACTGGTGTTCTCACATCTTCTACAGACCCGGTTTGCTCGAATTTTTTCACGATTTTTGCGATTGTACGCACATTTGGACGATCAAATTGACCAAAAAAATCACGAAGTGCACGATATGCATTTTGATTTGAACGCCCATTTTCATAATAAGTCTGGATAACTTTAACACGTTGTTGGATTGTGTATCTCTCCATGGTTCAAATTGAGTAAGTCTGAAATAGAGAAATGTCAAATAAAATTCGGAAAAAAACTTGGCGTTTAGGTGTGGTTCACATTCAACATCGGCCCTTACAATTTAACCACCCGTTATGTATATATATATATATATATATATATATATATATATATATATATATATATATATATATATATATATATATATATATATATATATATATATATATATGCAATACGTCATATACACCTCCGCTGGAGAAACATAATTGATGAACTCGCCTCCGTTTCGGAGGCGAATGCGATTTTTGGGAGGCCAATATGTATTTCTGTGTATAAGACGTTTTTTCAATAATATAGGTTGTAGGAAGTCATCTCCCCAATTTTCGACTGGAGGCCACTAGGTATGTTACATACAGATATACAAACGGGTTCACGAATTCCACACTTGAGGGCGCCACCGGTATATACGGCATATACAGTTTTTTGAGTCTGCTAGTTGCTGTGGCCTCCACACATACTTGTACAAATAAACCTCCGAAAGTTGGCAACATGGTACGGAGGTAAATAGGTATATCGTATCATATACGGAGGCGTATAAGTATGTATTTTGTGCGGAGGCTGATTTGTATACTCATATATGTATACTATACACAAAGCTGCCGTCGTGCCCATATCAGTTTAAAAGCAACTAAATCAGTATATAAACAAATTGCTTTTCCAATACGGGAATATTGAAATTAAATTGTTTTATTAGCATCTAGTGACTACCCAATACTGTGTAAGGGTAAGAAGAAAGAATGAAAATTTCTGTTGAACAATTTTTAATAATATGGTGGCTTACAGAAACAGAAACACAATCGCAGAGAAAGGACTGCCTACTCGAATGTACGCAAGCTTAAAAAGTTATGAATAGAGTTCCAGTTGTACCCATTTATTTGACAAAATATGTTATTTCCTTGAGGATATACAAATTAAAGTAAAATGCAATGGTAATAATAACATAATGTTAACAAAAACCTACATCAAAAAACACTACTTTTCGTGGACAACAACTGTAAAAATTAATAATAAACGATATTTTCTTGAAAACTATTTTTGACGGTACGCATTGTAAACATAAGTTTTAATGCGAATCCATCTTTTTTCTTTTAACAAAGCGGGATACTGTTCAATTAGTTCTAAGCACTCATGCTTCTTGGGTGCAATTTTCTTTTTAATGTTATTTTTGAAGTGTTTTAACACTATATTAGCTTGGTTTTCGGTCCAAGAACTTCTTCCGGTATCCTTTGAACCTAAAACAGTACGAACATAGATATTGATCAATCGAAAATTTGAAATTAATTCAAACGTTTTTGTTCCCTGACGTTTTTTCATCC